CGGGTCCTCGCGGCTGGGGGGGCTGGGGGCGAGAGGACCCTGCTCTGTCCCCGTCCCCATCTCTGTCCCCATCCGACACCGCCGCGGTCCCCACGGGCGAGCAGAGGGGAACACGAGAGGGAGCATCACCCACCCACGCGTTTGTGCTTCGTCCCCCCTCGAGGTTTTAATCGTTTGATTAAGAGCTCCCACCTCGGCTCGCTGGAGCTGCTCCGCTGCTTTTTAATTGCTCCAAAAGCCGGGCATGTTTTAAGGAGTGCCGGGTTGTATAATTAAAACCCGGGCGGCGTAAATCAGCAGCGCACACGAGCGGCAGCAGCTCCTCGGCACGACCATAAAACCAAAGGGGCATGAAGAGCGCCCATCATGGGAACGATGCGGAATGCTAATGCCGAGGGATCGCTGGGTCCGTCTGTCCATCCCTGTGTCCATCCGCAGCCCTGGGAAGCGGCGTCCCTGTGCCCGCCTGGGGAAGGCATCGCTCCTACTTTATTAATGTTATTGAAAGGCAGAGTGGGTGTATAAATCAACAAAAATAATTCATGAGAGTCATTAGCTCCTCAAAGACAGGCTCCTTTACAGCCAGCTTTAAATTAAAATTAAAAAAAAAAAGGAAAAACGCACCATGCTCTGAAACGGCAGCTCTTAACGCACATCAAACACGTTGCCTCCCGCCGCTGCTCCGTCGAAGGAAATTAAATTAGCATCCTTAATTCACCCTCTGGCTAGCGGCTTTATATTAACAGCTCGTTCTGGCTGGGCTCGGGAAGCGTCATGCCCGAATCGCAGCCTTCCTCCTTGCCCCCCTCATCCTCATCCTCCTCCGCGTGGTGCCATGGCCCCAGCTCCTCCACGGTGGCACCCACCGACCACGTGTGTCCTCCCACATTTAGGCAACTGCTTCTTATCAGGAGAGGGGGCAAACAGCAGCCTTAACAGGGGGCACTAAAGGAGGACGTGCCCTGAGCAGGGGACAAATGCATCAAAAATTGATTTTTTTCCCCCATTAAGGGCAGTTTCATCCCAGTGCACAGAAGAAAGGCCATGCCTGCATCACCATCACCTGCTCCGAGTGGGAGAGCAATTTGCTGAAGGCACTTATTGCTATCAGGGCCTGAAAACTATCCCCAATCACTCAGCATTTTCTTTCTATTTTCCCCTTTCTTCCCATTTTTTTTCCTCCTTTCTTGTTTCCCAAAGAGAAGGGCCCTGCTGTGAGGCTGCAGGGAATAGAGCAGCCCACAGCCCTGCCAGCCCCTCAGTAAAGAGCATCTGGCCTGGGGGGGAACCGTTTTGGGGCAAGATCAGGTTTTCTCCCACTCTTCACCTTTTGTTCTTCCTTGGGGAGGACAAAGGCAGCCTCGACTCCAGGCGGGCAGCAGCAGCAATCCCGAGAAACAACAAAAAAACCATTTTCATGTAAACCTCCTCAAAGTGAGAGAAAATTTGAGCGAGGGGGAAGGACAAGGATGTGGAAGAAAAAAGCCCTCTCGGTCTTGCTTGTATTTGCCCGTGCAAACACGAGTGGCAGCGGAGCGGGAGCCCTTCCCCTGCACGATGAAAGGAGAATAAATGCAGCTCAAAGTTTTCCCGCAGGCATCGGAAGCCGTTTGAAGAGCTGGAAAATGTTTTTGAATGAGGGCCAGGCTGGGGCCGGAGCCGGCTGCAAGCGGCAGAGGAGAAGACGCCTGGGAAGAGGCTCTGTTTTTTTTTTTTCCCCCTTTTTGCAGCTTTCCCCTCTGGGAGTTGCGTCTTTGGGATGGGTGCCCTGGATGGCTGAGGAGGCGCATGCAGCGGGATGGATACAGCACTGCAGCTGCATCCTGCGCATGCATGGCCCTCGTCCCACGGGCACTAACGAGCAGCGGTAACGAAGGGCTCTGCAGTAACGAGGCCCCAGCTCAATCCAGGGAGGCTCCCAGGGAAGGGAGGCAGAGCTCCATCTTAATTACACTTCATTACAGCATCCGCAACTGCCGCCTGCATATGAGTTCACACATGCATGTACCTGCAGCACTGTGCACGCGCTTGCATGACACCGGGGGATATCTGCATGCATCTGTGCATGGAAGAGCATCCCGGAGAGCAGCTTTGCTCCAGCCCTGGGCTGCAAGCACCCTCCTTGAGGGCTGGGACGAAGGAGCAATGAGGCAGCCCCATTCCCTGGCAGGACGGGTGGGAGGAAGAGGAGGGAGCGAAGGCCACACTCAGGCCCCTGCCTGGCTCGCTGCCACCCCACAGCACTTCCATCAAAGTCAGTGTCATCCTGCAGAGGAAGTTTATGGTAATTCACCCTCCTTCTCACAGGATCTTCAGCATCAGCTGCACAGCAATGATGGGCAATGGGAATGGTGCTGTCACACCAGCCCCTCACCCTCCCCACCCCACTTTGTTTTCTGGGGTGAAACCTTCACCAAAACACAACTGCATTGGGGCAATTGCAGCACAAGAGCAGCAGAAATCCTCGAACCCCCAAGCGGATGGGTGCTTGTCACAGCTTGGGGGCTCCTCAGGCCCTTCTTGCACCCTGCGAGCAGCGTGGCTGCACACGGGGACAGCAGCAGCACCGGGGGGTCCTATGGCACCGCTGTGGGGCAGGGCACAGAAGGGGCTGTGCATCGTCCCCCCCCAGGCAACTCCACCAAGGGGGCCCAAACAGGGGACACAGGTGCCCCCCACACTCTGCCCCTCTCGGATCCACATCCCCCAGCCCCAGCTGTCACAAGCTGGCGGGGTCTCAGCAGACACAGCAGCAGCTCCACGTGCCTTATTGCTATTCCATCCCCGCACCGCGGCAGCTGGCGGGATAGCGCCGAGTGACAGCAGTGACAGGTAGTGGCAGGCACGGGGACAGAAGCAGCCACGGCCCAGCAGGACACCCAGCAGCACCAAGCGCCACGGCAAAGTGCACGGAGGAGCCCGGGAATGGGAGCTGATGCTGGGGTGTCCCGGCAAGGCCCAATGCCTCTCTGCAGTCTCGGGGCTGAGACTGGGACAGCTCAGTGCATGCAATGCAGCCAAGAGCACCGAATAGCTTGGCAACAGAGCTGGCTTCTTGCTGCAAGTTGACACAGGCATCAATGGCAGGTGTCCTGGGCCAGAAGGAAGGGCATCCCAGCACATCCCAGGGATGCATGAGCATCATCTCGGGAAGACGAGCGCCTGTCACAGCCCCAGCGCCCGCCGCCGTCTCCAGGGAGCTGCGGGGCCAGGGCTGGCGCAGCCGGGCAGCGCCGGCTGCACGGACAATTAAGGGAAGTGCAAATTGTCAGAGCTGGTGATTAACGCTGCCTCCAAATCCGCATGAATATTAAAAGCCGACATTGCCCAGGCTCCCTGCACAATGAATTCTGCATGAATCTTAAGATAAATCGTTTGGATAACTTAGCAGCAGCTGTACTCCCTCACCACCAACTGCCTCCAAAAATCATTCCGAGGCAGCCGAGAGGAGCAGGGAAGAGCCCGGGAGCACAGGAGCAGCTGCAGCCCCAGGCTTGGTGGTGCCAG